TCGGAATTAAACCTATATCACGAAGGGTTATAAGCAGTATATATATATATATATATATATATATATATATATATATATATATATATATATATATATATATATATATATATATATATATATATATATATATATATATATATATATATATATATATATATATATATATATATATACACAGGAGAGAGGAGTTGCTTTATTATGACAGCTGGGCCGGAGCCAGACAACGGTTACCAAGTGGTGTTTATTTATCTGTCATATAGGGGGAGTTTATGTTTTCTCTTATGAAATGTCAATGAATTGACTTAAGAGAATATAATTAACATTGCTGGTACTATTGTAAGATAGTGATTAATTTGAATATAAACTTGCTATAGTTTGCAATAGACATAAAATTTTTAGTGAGAACTAGTCTATTTTAGTACAAATGACTAAAATTTTTATCTCTTGTGCAAAATATATGATGTCTATATTCAAATTATTCGCTGTCTTGCAAGGATCCAAGCAATGTATTTAATATTCTGCTTACTTTAGACTGTGCCATTTTATGTCAAGTTTAGTCACTTTTATTGGCCTCCAGAACATAGCCCTATTTTCCCCATTGATTACATATAATTATATATCGCAATTTAGTATATAGCGAACATCCTTGGACTCTATCTCTCGATATATCCCGCCCCTACTGTACATTATACTGTATTCCAAAAAATATTTTTAATTAAACCTTAAATTGTATTATTTTCATAGGTAGTTTGTACGTGTACATAAAATCCACCCATACATTACTAATATATTTATCCCTTTGGAAAATAAAGCATAATCAACATACGGTACCTTCCTTGTCAGCATCTGTGGCAGTAACTGTTGTTACATAAGTTCCCTCTGACTCATTTTCTGTCACATCTATTGTTGTTCCACATATTCCTTCTACCATTACAGGAGGGTTATCATTCAAGTCAATGACATTAATGGTAATCTGAAAGAAAATAAGGACAAATCATCTGCTTCCTTTCTTATCAATGGCAGATTAAGGAAAGAGAAACCTCAACACAAAGTAAAGAACACAATTGGGAAGAAAGGTGTATAAAGTGATAGGATGGGGCGTGAACAACAAGTAGAATATTCCATAATCACTTTCTCACATCTGAACTTGCATACATAATATAGAAAGAGAATTCTTTATCATCAAATTAATTTACCTGTACAACAACTCATAACAATTCACCACTGATGCAAATTGAGTTGTCAAGTTTACTCAGTATTAAAATACTGAAGATTCTGTGAATGAGTATTCAAAATTAACATAGGCTTGAAACCTGAAAATCATAAGATTAAATTTCAATTTAGACAAGATTGTCACTAGCAATGGGGTTCCAACTACTGGACCGAATGGTTTTTTACATTTTTGATTCAACAAATTATCCTGTAATACAACTTTTAAATAAATACTATTAACCCCAAAGCTGAGTAAAATTGTCTAGCATTAGCCAAATAAAATATTAACACTTTTGGGTCCATACGCAGCGCATGCCGCCACCACCCAAAATGGGCTGGTTGTACCCACCTGACGACAACTGCGGCATTAATGTTTGCATTTCTTATTTGTTTCAGACATTATTTTCCATCATAGCGTTCCATTTTCTTTATGTGTATTTCCTGACAAACGATTCTTCTAGAATACTCTTATACAAAAGAAGTCGAATCTAACACCAACATATGAAAATATGAGTGAACATTGCAAAGGAGTGGGTAGCATCTGTGCGCTGTAAACCCTTGGGACACGCTGATGCTTGCAGGCCCACAGGGCAGTTATCCCAACTCCTGACATCCGCCACAGTTGCGCAGCAAGAATGGGAAGATAATGGCACACATCTTGAGACTTGATCCATAAAAATCATGCAAAAAGGAATTTTGGCAAGTTATTGAAGTCGATGACAACATTTTCACCGTAGGAATGCTAACAGGAGGTTTTTGGATGACAAAATATTCCTCATTGGCTCACCAAAGTGTTAAAAGTAGCATCCCAAAGTGAAGGGGTTAACTCTTTTAAGTCTTTTCCAGCTATAAGGCCAAGTGGGGAGAATCAAGAGCAATAACAGACTCTCCCCTTCATTTGCTGTCATTCTCACTGTTGTAATAAACATGTTCTGCAACAGTAATCCCCTTCCACAAAGAGCCCAAATATTTATCTGGTTTATCCTTGTTGTTTCAAACAATCTAACATCACACATCAGAAGAATATAAATTCCCAGAAACCATTTAACATTGTATTTTCCAGCCATTCAAGTATATTGCTGTTTTCCGGATAACCATCTCCCTCATTTCTACTGCATCCTTCACGGTTCACCCTATTTTTCCATCCTTGATCTTCACTCCTCCTTTTGCCATCCACCTGTGAATTATGAACTCCTTTTACCAATCTTTCATTCTCATCTTCTCAGTATAACCACACTTCCTAAACAAACCCTGATCCATTCTTGGCTTGACACTGCTTTCATTTTCACATCTCTTGATTTTTGTATTTCTCATTCTCTACATCCTGTTCAGTGTTTACCCAAAACTGCTACTTGTTACTTCTCTTTGTTGCTTAATGTTTCACACCCATGTAACAATAACAAATCAATAACATCCCATCTTTGCCTCTTTTGACAAGGATATCTCCATACATTTCTCAATGAAATAATTACAGGGTCCTCATTAAACATCGGCGATGTGTTCCAGAGAGAAGCAACTTCTCATGAAACGTTTTATAATGAAGAATTTTTCCAAATTAGAATTAATGTAATTAGGAGATACAGCTAGACCCCGACTTACGACTGCTACGACTTACGACCGTCGGGACTTACGACCGCCGCAGATTTTTTATTAAAAAAATGTTTTTTTTTTTTTTTTTTTTCAAATGACACGTTTTTTCTATACCGAAACGTTTCCAGTTAATGTAGTCTCCATGTATAATTAGAAAATTATGGGGGCCCCATGTGCATTCAGCTGACTACATTTAAGGTAAGTGTTCAGTCACACCGTATCCATTCCTTATTATTTATTACTTTCACTGTACTGTATCCATTCCTCATTATTCATTACTTTTACTGTACTGTATTTCATTGTAGATTTAAAAAAAAAAAAAAAAAAAATTTATCTATGTCGGACTTACGACCTGGATTTGGGTCACTAACCCCGTCGTAAGTCGGGGTCTAGCTGTACAGTATATATGCATTCCAACAAGTACAGTAATACCCCTTGAAAGCTCAGGATGCGTTACTGGAGAGAGAACATTCAGCAAATCAGCTTACAATAGGGTCATTATAGCATACTATATAGTATTTGATATGGAGACCTGTTCATAATAACATTATATATTTACTTTTACTTTTATCCTCTTCACCACTGATCGGGTCGTTAGCCACTTGGCCAATCGGTCACGTCACTGCACCGGCTCCTGAATGTACCTGAACCTGCTCCAGTGTTGGTCAAGTCTGGTCTTGAAAGAGCTTTCACTCGGTGCCATCACAACATTTTCTGGCAGAATGTTCCAAGAGTTCACAACTCTCACTCCAAAAAACTTTGTCCTCACTGTTTTCTGGACCTGAGGCTTCTTCAATCTTGAGCTGTGACCCCTTGTGGAGCGAGTGTCCGCCAGCTCCAAGTAAGGACACTCGACTGAGTAGTGCCCCTTGAGATGCTTATACACCTCAGTTAGGTCGCCCCTTGCCCATCTGTAGTATAAGCTAGGCTAGTTCAGGTGCACTAATCTCTCAGGGTAGTTCAGGTGCTGAAGTGCAGGCACCAGTCTGGTGGCTCTCCTTTGAACATTTTGAACCAACTGACAGTCCCTAGTATATCTCGGGGACCAGACGGGGTGACAGTACAGTGGTCCCTCAGTATACGGGCACAATTCATTCCAGAAGGTTGCTTGTTAACCGAAACCATTGTTTCAATGGGTTTTTGGGTAATTGGTTCCAGCTCACCGAAAATTACATACAAACTAAAAATAAATGCAGTAAAGTACACTTACTTTGAGGTGTGCATGTAGAAGGCTCCTGGTTTATGATGATGATGATGATGGGAATTAGAATGGGGGTGGAGGAGAAGGGAGAAGAGAAGGCATTGGGGTGGAAGAGAAGTCACCCCATGCCGCCATTTCACCCATAAAATTTTAGTTCACTTGGTGTAATTCAAGATTATTTTCTTTAAATCAACACTGCACTGCGCTTAATATTATCAATATGTAAAATATATTTCAAAATGACCAATAATTTGACTGGAAACACAGAAAAAAAGCATTAATGTTGAAGAGTCTCAAACAAGATGTTCCTTCCTCTGAACTGGCAAACAAACTGACGCCAAGCTTGGTGTATTGAGTGGCTGCTTGGCGTGCAAAAAACTAGTTTCCTGTACTTCAATAATGTTCAATAATTGTTAAAAATTACTAAAAAATTTAATATAAAACTTTTAAAATTATTGAATAGTACAACCTTCTTGATATTTACTAAAATGCTAAGGAATTTAAGCCCTAAAACCGATTACTGTATTGGCGGACTAATACAGTACTACAGCTAGTTGGCAGCCAAATGCAGGAGAAAACATGTTGGGAAAAATTCGTAAGGAATTCGTTAACCGAGAGTTTGCTAGTTAACCAAAGTGAAGAATCTTATGGAAGGTAATTCGTTAACTGAAATTTCGTTAACCGAGGCGCTCATTAACCGAGGGATCACTGTACTCCAGATGGAGAAGTACTTCACTCTAGAAGATCGTTACGAGGGACGGACCGTCTAGATATCTGAACGACCTTCTTCTAAGACCTAATAATTTATTTGCCTGATTTACCTTCTTCTCGCAATGGCCCGAGAACTTCAGCTCATTGTCAACATACATATCTAAGTCCTTCTCACATTCAGTCTCAAATGGTGCAGTTTCTTCATCCCGTTGGGACATATGATACGCCTCCTGACTGTTGGTACGCCCCAGGTGCATCCCCTTACACTTCGTGACATTGAATCTCAGCAGCCATTTCTTCGACCATTCTTGGAGCTCAGAGAGATCCTTCTGCAGCTCTTCACAGTCCGCTTGTTTCTTGATTTCCCGAAATAACTTCGCGTCATCCACAAACATTTGTATGGAGGAGTGTACAACGTCAGGCATGTCATTTATGAAACAAACAACAGCAGGCCCAATACATTGCCCTGTGGTACCCTGCTTGTGACAGGTACAGATGATGATTTCGTGCCATTAATCACCACACACTGCTTATGGTCATGTAGAAAGTCTTCTATCCACACTAGGACATTACCCCGAATTCCGTACCCTTCCAGTTTGATTTTCAGCCTTTCGTGGGGTACACTGTCGAAAGCCTTGGTAAAATCTAGGTATATATTGTCGATATTACTTGTACACTTAAACAATTGATTAATAAATAAACCAAGTACCTGTACAGTGATATTCACGATAGCCGGAAAAATAGGTGCAGAGCGGTTCCGGGAATGAGAGATTCCTGGGTATGGTGACAAATTTTCTCATCCCAGGAAAATTATTTTATATCTCGGGAATTTTCTCGGGTACTGGGGAAAGTTTTCCAAAAGTCTAAGCTACGCATCTCGCATGGACAGACACAGAACTGTACTTATTTATGCAAACCCCACTGTATACCTACAATATATTGTACAGGTAAGCCTCTTTTTGCTATGGGGTTAGGTTCTTGAAAACCCCACCACAGGTCGAAATATCGTAAATTATGTTCATTATAACATCGGGTTCAATGTTCCTGGACCTGTGGGACACCTATATGAATCACCGAAAAAAAAAAATCCTAGAAACTACTAACACTCGCCACATAATAATGAACAAGCCTGGCTGTCTTCACATGTCCCTTTCGAGACGAAGGGAATTCTTAAGATGGAGTGGAGACATCAATCTGAGTCCCACACAGACTCTGGGGAGTCTGAAGAGTGGGTACAGGAGGTCACAAAATCATGACAA